TCGTACATGATCCAGTTAGGATTTTCATGTTGTTTTGCTTTGCTGTACTGTATTGAAACATTCAATTTTGGTTCACTGCTCCTCCCTCCAACCAGACATTGAGCTTAGAATGTCATTTTCCCAGTCCGGTGATTTGCTAGATTTTTACAAAGTCTTTCTATATGAGTTCATGTAGCTTAAAAGAAATATGAGTTTAACACTGTGAAAGGTAAGCATAAGGGTTTTTGGTTTGTTGTTTTTGTTTTTTGTTGTTTTTTTGAGATACAGTTTCACTCTGTCACCCAGGCTAGAGTGTCACCCAGGCAGTGGTGTGATCTCTGCTCACTGCAGCTTTCGCCTCCTGAGTTCAAGCAATTCTTGTGCCTCAGTCTCCTGAGTAACTGGGATTACAGGTGCACACCACCACACCCGACTCATTTTTGTATTTTTAGTAGAGACAGGATTTTGCCATATTGACCAGACTTGTCTCAAACTCCTGACCTCAAGTGATCTGCCCACCCTCGTCCTCCCAAAGTGCTGGGTTTATGGATGTGAGCCACCGTGCCAGGCCAGCATAAACTTTTAATGTGGGCAGTACAGATGAGCTCCCAGAAAGAATAAGGTCAATGTGAAAGTGATTTTTGATTTTTTTTTTTTCTTGAAGTAAGCTTAAAAACGTCTCTTTAGTTCAGATCTTAGAGATTAACTTTCAGTGAATTTTTATTTGTAAATGAGTGGCGATAATACCAATCTTAATGTGTGTCTGTAGTGTGAGTGAAGAAAGAACAGTCTGGTTCAAAAGAAGAGGCTGGTGAAATGATAGTTAATAGCATTGGTGTTTAACACATGTGGAAAGTAGTCTTCAGTTTGTTGTTCTCAAATATTCAATTATGTGTACTCTGAAAACCTGGTCTTTGCAGATTGAACAAGAAAAATTGGCATCTATGAAAAAGCAAGATGAAGACAAAGATAAAAGGGATAAGGAAGAAAAAGAAAGCAGCAGAGAAAAAAGGGAGAGGTCTCGTAGCCCAAGAAGGTATCATGCAATAGATGCATAACTGATGTTTTACAGGTACTTTAGGTCTTGAGAAATTCTGTGTGTAGAAACTTCCTTAGTTAAAAAGGAATCTAACAACGCTATTCAAGGAATTTCTTCCATCATGCAGTTTTCATGGTGAGCTATGGCTTGCCTCTGGACTGAAGAAATCTGTCATCTTTTGTTTGAGACAGATAATTTAACCATCAGTGTCTCGCACATCTTGATGAGTTGTCCAACTCTAAATTCCTAAATCAAAACTTTAAACTTTTCTTCCATATTGCTTTAGTTCATAACAGTTAATTTGGGTTTTTTAAAATGTACTCTGACTCATTTTTTTTTTCCATTTCCTTTCTTCTAAAAAGAAATCTGTACTCGAAACCTGTACTCATTAGCCATTCATGTAATACTTACCTAATTCCCTGTTCTGCTTTTCTTAGATGGTTGTACTGAACCCAAACTTCAGATCATTTATTTGTTTTCTTCTTCCTTCCAATGAGACTATTGTTAGGTTCACATTTTTAAATCCGCGACTCAGCTTCTGTATTTGTGGTAAAAGGTGAGAACTCCATTAGGCTTTTTATTTTTAGGGTTCTGCTTATTTCTTTCATAAATGTCTGCTGGAATTAGTAAGAGAATTGGTAATTTCTTTGTCCCTTTCATTTATATATTTGCTATTAAAATCTCCTTGTGGAAGTAATACTTACAGAGCTAAGCACAGATTGTCATGGTGGTAACTACTTGACTATTGATGAAGTATGCCTGCCATTTTCCTTCTGTGTGAATAAGAAAAAAAACCTTTGAGTTAGGCAGGCTATTATTAAACAAAAAGAGGGTTTCTCTTCCAAAAAAGCTATCTTCTTCATGTTTGATATATTTCTCTTTTCTGAAGAACATGTTGCTTTAATGGTACTAGTCATTTTTCTGGCATACTGAGACTCTTCCTGATGAACTCCATTGTAATCTGTCCGCATCTAAATGTTACATGCTTGGGAGTTTGATTTGTTGTCAGAGATTATCGTTGGTTTTAAAGCATCCTCTTTGCCTCTGAAAAGTTGGTCTTTTGAGCTCTGGGAATGATAAAGAACCTAAGTCTAGAGTCCCAAGTCAGTGCTTTCCTCCCTTATAACTGATACACTCGAGAGTGTTATCTTTCATTTGCTTGTCTTTCTCTTCCCTATCAAGTAGGTGAGATTAGGATGTCTTATTTCCATAGGGAAACATCTCAGATATAAACAACAGTAGTGTAACTAAAGATTAATCCTCACTTCTCCCTTTGACTCCTCTCTTCCAATCCATGTTATTTAAAAATCTGAAAAAAATTGCTTTCATCCTAGACGCAAATCCAGATCTCCTTCCCCTAGAAGACGATCTTCCCCTGTCAGGAGAGAGAGAAAGCGCAGTCATTCTCGATCTCCCCGTCACAGAACCAAGAGCCGGAGTCCTTCCCCTGCTCCAGAAAAGAAGGAAAAAACTCCAGAGCTCCCAGAACCTTCAGTGAAAGTAAAAGAACCTTCAGTACAAGAGGCTACTTCTACTAGGCAAGTACATAAAAATTCATTTATAAATAATCACAATTTTAGATTAATAATGACTGCAAATAATGACATCTGAGTTAAACTAGTTATTCTCCTTTTAGATTTTTTAAATTGTAAAATTAGTTTGTTGAAAAGAAATTGTTTAGGAAAGTATATTTAAAGAAAATGCCCCAAAGGGTGACCATTACTATCTTTTGGTTAAATTGTTTCAGGTATTTTGTGTATTGTAACTTGCTTTTTTTCCTCAATGTATTGTGGACAACTTCGCACTTTTAAGAAATGTATGTGGTTGCCAGATGCAGGGGCGCATGCCTGTTATCTCAGCGCTTGGGGAGGCTGAGGTGGGTGGATCGCTTGAGCTCAGGAGTTAGAGACCAGCCTAGGGCAACATGGTGAAACTCCATACTAAAAATATATATATACACACACACACAAATTAGCCGGGCATGGTGGCACATGCCTATAGTCCCAGCTACTCAGGAGGCTGAGGTGGGAGGATCACTTGAGCCTGAGAGGTTGAAGCTGCAGTGAGCCAAGATCATGCCAGTGTACTCCAGCCTGAGTGATAAGAGTGAGACCCTGTCTCAGAAGAAAAGAAAATGTACGCGGTTAGAATTATTAGTTGCTCGGTTTCACTGATAGGTGTGTATGTATCGTATGTATCTTTTGGAGCTAGAGACAAGTCTGTAAATTTTGAAAAGGTTTAGAAATAATTTATTACATCATTGTATAATGATTTAGAAGTCTGAGTACAAGAAGGCAAAAGAAAAAAAAAAAGCTTTTGTTTCCACAGTGACATTCTGAAAGTTCCCAAACCTGAACCTATACCAGAGCCTAAAGAACCTTCTCCAGAAAAAAATTCTAAAAAAGAAAAGGAGAAGGAGAAGGCCCGACCACGATCTCGGTCACGCTCCAAATCAAGATCCCGGACGCGGTCCCGCTCTCCTTCTCACACTCGACCTAGACGGCGCCATAGATCCCGATCAAGGTGAGTTGTGGCTTTAAGATCAACAACTATCTTAGGTTTTATATGCTACTGTACTGGGTACAATTAGATAAATAATTTCAAAGCAGTAGAAGATGTTTAGTACAAATATTTTTTGAATGTACACAGAGAATTTGAGGACACTTTTCTGTGTACCATAAAAGTGTCTACATAAATGGAAAATTGCGATCCTTGAAATTTATTTTTTAGATGTAGCCATTGAGAAAACTAAGGCAAGAAATTCCTCACTCCTGGTTTATTCAGGACCTAATTCTGTTTGTTATGGCAGATCGTATTCACCTAGAAGGCGGCCAAGTCCAAGAAGGCGGCCATCTCCTCGAAGAAGAACTCCACCAAGAAGAATGCCTCCTCCACCAAGGCATAGAAGGAGTAGATCACCTGTAAGACGGTAAGATTTTTAAAATTTGGAAGTGTCAAGTGTTTGACACTTCTGGATAATCTTTCTTTTAGGATAATCTGTAAATTAGTGTCCCTGGAAGAAAGAACTCATAGGTGATATTAGACAATGTCTTCTAAAGAATCTGTTTCATTTGAAGTGTAATGCAATTGTCCTTGTTATGAAAAATGTCTAGTCTGGTGTTGGAAAGTAAACGAGAAATTAATCATCTTATTGATACTTTTCTGTTAACTTTTACCCTTCTAGAGTTCACCAAGAAATCCTACTAAGTAAGGGAATTGGCCATCTTCTCTTTGGCTTTTAACTGGCTTCTGAAAAGTAGCTGATGATAGGACCAGTAAGCTCCTTTTGCCAGTATTAAAGTAAATCATTTGCTATTATACTTTGAGAAAAATACTTTCTATGAATTTTTTGTAAAATTCTCAGAAAATTCTCATTATAGAAGTAATGAGGCTTATAAGTAATTCAGACAGAAATAGCATAACCTGGAAGTTTTCCATAATCCCGGGGGAATATATCTGTATTCCATAGATATAATTGTTATTACTAGTTTAGTGTCTATTTTTGAAAACCCCGACTGTACCAGTGTTCTTTTTCTTAAATCATTCTAAAATGAGCATATGATAAAATATTTCAATCTTGGATATATCACTTTAAACAAAAAGTTAGTGGCTAAATCTACCCAAAGTAGAGTTCTAGTGCACTGGTAGCAGAGTTTTTGTGCCTTCTTGCAATACATTTCATCTGGCTTTGGAAGAAATGTCAATGATTAAGCTTCCAGTTTTATTTTGGACAGAAGTTTTTGTTTGAATCTTTTAAAGTTCTTTTCAGGGAACCAAATCAATTTGGAAATAAAGAGGGGAAAAATCAAGTAAGCTTTGTAAAGTTACTTTGTTTCTGCAGTCAGGTTTTTCAGAGTCCCATACGTTTGAAAATTCTCTTTGGGGAGGGGTTGTCAAGATATATTGAACTATTACCACTATTACAAAGAATTGATGTGTTATTGCTCATAGAGGAGATTAGTGAGGTAAATGGTCAGTCAGTTTTCAGGCATCACACTTTTCTAATTCCCCTGTAGGAGAATAGTAATGCTGGTGCTTCCTAGTACGAGATTAGTGGAAACAGCTATTTCTTATACCGGAGTTTTGCAAACAGCATGTTTAAATTGTGCTTACTCAGCCATTTAGCAGTCAATATTTTACAGATTGTTTAAGATTCCCTTTCAGCCAGTTTTTGTCTCACACTTAAGGTAGGGTTTCTTTTTTTCAGGTTCTCAGGAATTCTTCCGCCAAAGGTGAATTCTGCAGGTACACATAATTGCAACAGAACTTAACACAAATTTTGCCGCAGAATTCGAGAGGCCCCTGCTTCTAAGTTTATGTAGCTAAATGAATTCTTAGTTTTGCACACCTTTTTAAAAAATGCAACCTAAAGGTTTCTCAACATTGTGTTATTAAATGAAAAATACCTTGCCCCCAAATTTTGTATGCAAACTCCAAAACACCAATACCATTCCTAAGGCAGAAGGACTAGTTATTTTATTATAGCATTCAACCTGACAAGTTTTATAACTGGAGAGAGAACACAGACAGAAGCATTTATCAGATTAAGTTGTTTATATTTAGTCTCAGAACTAGCTGTTTCCTGGCCTAGGTTATGGTTTTTTTCCCCATTCTTTTGGACTCATTTATGTGCTTAGCTACATAAACTCAAAAGTTGGATTAAAATAGCTGTATTTTTGTGTAAACTGTTCATACCTGTAAGGCCGTTCTTTATAAGTGTGCAATTAGTGAATGTGAATACTTTATTCCACAGAAGAAGACGTTCTTCAGCATCCTTGTCTGGGAGTAGCTCATCATCCTCTTCATCTCGTTCACGGTCACCACCAAAGAAGCCTCCCAAGAGGACATCCAGCCCCCCTCGGAAAACTCGTAGGTTATCTCCTTCAGCAAGTCCTCCAAGGCGAAGGCACAGGCCATCACCTCCTGCAACTCCACCACCCAAAACTCGGCATTCCCCAACACCCCAGCAGTCAAACCGTACAAGAAAAAGTCGTGTTTCTGTGTCTCCAGGGAGAACTTCAGGTAAAGGTAAAAATCAAACACAGATGAAACTTTGACTACAAAGCATAGTCAGTTACTGCACCTGCTTACTCTCAAAGTATAAAATAGCTAGATGATATTTGTGTCTGATACTCTCTGTAAGTTTGCTTATAGGCCTACCTCTTTCCTGCTTTAAAATATTGGGGCTTTTTTATGTGTAAAAGCATTTTGTTTTTAGCAATGCCCTCTGGCATTGCGCAGGTGGATAAATCTTTTACCAGCCGTGGGCTGTTTGACTTGGGGTAACATATCGAAGTTTGCGTTGGCATGATAAGAGATCATTTTATTACTATGAGGCCAGTTAACTTTTTTTTCTCCTGAAGATTTTTGGTTTGATATCTTAAGTAGGAGGACTTCATATTCTCTTTTAGTTCTTTCTTGGCCGCGTTGCGCTCCCAAGCAAAGGACATGGTGTCCTCTTAAAAGCTGATTTGTTTTTTTTAATTTAGGCTCTAGGCAGGGTTCTTCTGAGTGTTGTCCTTGCTTTATTCTGCAGATTGATTTCTGAGGAATTTATGATCTGTGATCCTGCCAGGCAAGTAGAATGCTGTGTTAGTCTGAGTGAAGGTTGTGGTCTATTGGGGTTTGTTCTGTGAGCATTAAATACGCATGGAAAAAACTAGTGTCCATTTGAACCAGGCTCTCTGGAGCTTAGGGCTGGAATGATACAGCCTAAAAGGTGAGTAGTAAGGGATGGGGAGGATCTTAAAAGCTGCTATAGCAATTGAATTTTAAGGAGCAATCTGTAGGTTAACACATACTGGGGTTGTTATGATCATATTGAAAATTTCACGTTAGAGCCAGGTGTGGTGGCATGAGCCTGTAGTCCTAGCTACTCAGAAGGCTGAGGCAGGAAGCTCACTTGAGCCCAGAAGTTCAAGGCTGGCTTCAGCACCGTAGCGAGATCCTGACTCTTAAAAAAAAGAGAGAAAAAATTTCAGGTTAGAAACAAAGAAATGGGGATGGACAAAATTTTCATTATACATTTTAGTGAGCTTGATGAGATCGGCATTGCTAATTATTCACCCTGCTGCGTTCTCTCTCCACTCCCCAACGATGCAATGTGGTGATACCTAGGAAGGCAAATTTTGCTTTCCTTTTTTGTATCTGTGACAATGAGGCATAGATAAGCTGATAGAGTGAAAGGGTGACCAGTGGTTTATGGTAGTCTTTAAAAAGTAATGTTTTCTGAATTGTGACATTTTTATTGTAGTGATACATTGATTAAATAAGACATGGACATTTTTGTTGGCCCCTTATACAAGCAGCTAGTGAAAGTAGAGAAGCCTGTAACTGTTCCAGGTTCAGTCTTCAGTTTGAGAGAGGGGCTTCAGGATCACTATTTCTATAACCTCATGTACCATACTGCTTTTCAGCATTGGGAAAATTTCAGTCCATTTTTAGTTACCATGTCCAAATCTGATGCCCATGGCCCTGACCTATTTTGTCTTTTCCTGTGAAGTTTGTACTTCTGAATATTTACTCTTTGTCTGGAGCCACAAAGCTCTCTAGGGGAAAAAACAAGTGTTTCCACCTGTTACTTTGCAAAAACACATCAAGTGATGATTTTTTTCTATTTTTATCATATAGCCAAAGAGTTGCAAAACTACCTGAACAGAGGGACCAATCTTTGTTAAAATACGTTGATTGTTAAGAATTATTAGGTACCTTTTAAAAAGCATATGCACAGATGCTAATTTCTTGTGTTTTGGCATATATTTTTTGCAAACAAGACAGAGTGGATATGTACATAGGAAAGAAGTAAGCCATGGTGAAAATAAGTAGTTCTGTGGGTTTTGGGACAGGGCTTCCATGTCCAAACAGCCTACTCAAAGAGAGGCGCTACAGGCTCTAGTCAGAGTCTCCCTTGTGACCACTGGAGCTGAATATTGGTTTGAGCTACTTGGAAATAACCTCTCCTCCACCTCCTCCCTGCTCCCCAAAATAGAGCCAGCATCTCACTCTGTCACCCGGGCTGGAGTGCAGTGGCCCAGTCATAGCTCATTGCAGCTTCCAACCCCTGAAATTACAGGTGTGAGCCACCACACCCGGCCCAGACATAACTTTTTATATTAAACTGATCCTAGCCCCCTATGATGAAATTTCGGAGCTAGAGAAGACCTTAACAGTTGTCAGCAAGAAACAGATTTTCAGGTTAGTTGACTTGGTCAAGGTCAACCAGCTAGGAATAAAACTTGAGTTGCCATTCCCAGTTAAATAATGAATACTTTTCCCAGCTTTCCTACCCCAGAATTCCTCTCTGATTGCTAAAGGTGAGATGGAGGGCAGGGTTGAAATTGTTTAGCTTCTGTGTCTGGTAGTATAATTTCAGAAATTACTTTGCAGTTTCCACTACTTAGAACAGTAACATCATTGAAATGTAATAGATACTACAGTTATATTTTCTGTAGTGGCCACTAATCAGGGCCTTAGGGCTCTGTTCTTGATAGTGGGCAAATGGAGTGGGAGGGAGGCAGGAAAAGTGTTTAGGGGAACTTACAGGTTAATTATTTGAAAGAGAGTATACAGTCATCTGAAGGGATCTTAGGGGAAACATTTGTAATTATTGACATCTCGTTAAATTGACATTATCTTAGTAGTACATAAAATAGTGCTTTGAAATCAGTGGCACAGTCAGTGAAGTATGTTAACATGATTGATACTGGTGGTGGCGGTGTGGTAATTTTATTTAGATTAGCTTGGCCACATAAATTGTGCTCTCTATCTAGACACTTAATGGTTACTTTACTATTGCTGGTCACAGAATAACTTATCTTTATAAGTGATCTTTTAGGCAGATCTAAGATTAATAATTAATAGGACTGTTGGAGTAAATTTAAAATTCTGGTTTTAAAGTTGCCTTCTACGTTGTCTGACTTCATGCTAGAATGATTTTGTCCCTTGAATACTTAAAATAAAACAACATTACCAAAAAGTAAATGGTGTAAAGTCTCATCTAGAAAAATAGAAATCTGAAGGGCTATTATAATATTAATAATGCTGATTCAATTGTATGAAACCAGAGTAGGAGCATATAAATGATCCTTGTTTGATGGTATAAATTTTTCTTTTTTTGGAGACGGAGTCTTGCTCTTTTGGAGACGGAGTCTTGCTCTGTCGCCCAGGCTGGAGTGCAATGGTGCGATCTCGGCTCACTGCAACCTCTGCCTCCCAGGTTGAAGGGATTCTCCTGCCTCAGCCTCATGAGTAGCTGGGATTACAGGCGCATGCCACCACACCCAGCTAATATAAATGTATTAATAAAGACTACTTTAGCTAAGTAATTAGTGAGAAATTGAATCAGGATGCAACTCCAGATGTGTATTTCCATTGGGGGAAAATGTAAATAATGTTACAATTCACTGGTATTATATAATGAATAGGCTTTTGCCAAGTATCTGGTAAGCATAACCACATTTTTAATGTTTCTTAGGGGAAGATGTGTCCAATCAATCAGCTTCCAAAGCAAGTTTGGGAACCCAGTTCTCTGAGGTGGTAACTTGGACATGCACTTTTTAACTAGATGCCCATAATATCTTTTCAGAAATTGAGGATTAAGTAACACTTAAAAATATGGACTTAAAAAAAGAGCCTCAAATAGTTAACAATTTTAAAATATTTTATTTCTTTGGATTTGTTAAAATACAAGTATGAAATACAGTTTGCTATTTGCACTGTCATGATTCCTGATATCTAATTGAGTGATAGCCATTCTTTACCCAATCCAGTGATTTGTCCAAATGGCTTATTACGTAGAAATTTTAAGAAAAGTCGCTGGGCGTGGTGACTCACGCCTGTAATCCCAGCACTTTGGGAGGCCAAGGTGGGCAGATCACCTGAGGTCGGGAGTTCAAGACCATCCTGACCAACATGGAGAAACCCTGTCTCTACTAAAAATACAAAATTAGCCAGGCGTGGTGGTGCATGCCAGCTACTCGGGTGACTGAGGCAGGAGAATCCCTTGAACCCGGGAAGCAGAGGTTGCAGTGAGCCAAGATCGTGCCATTGCACTCTAGCCTGGGCAACAAGAGCGAAACTCCCGTCTCAAAAAAAAAGAAGAAAAGTCTGTTCATTGAAAAGGCATACCGGTAAATTCTTCATTTTGATTTCTTTTGCAAAGATGCAATTACTGTGTTAGATCACTGGTTCTCTAATTACTGCCCCTTGGAATAAACCATTACAGAATTCTGAATGTGAATGTCTGTTAAATGAGATGTATCTGCATTCTGAGTAAAACATTCCATGATAATTGCTTTAATCACACAAAACAGGTATCAGGATCCCGAGGGGATCAAATTGTCAGTAGGTTTATTTCTTACTGAGATGTTCTCAAGTGGTGTTTCAGGTTAATCTATGGTATATATATGTTTATATGTGAATATACTTAACAATTTTAGTTGTAGCAATGGATAGATACTATAAGCAGAGATAGTTGTTCAGATCAAAACCCATGCCCTAAAAATAGACTCTTGGATTCACATCTTAGCTCAATTAAATTGTCTTTGTGACTGAGGTGAAGTTGCTTCTTTTTAAGCCTCAGGTTTCCTCTTTATGAAATGGAACAGGGAGAAAGGGATGTGATACTAGCATCTGTGTTAATAGTATGTCCGATACAGCAGGTTTACCAAAGGTAGTTACCATATTTCTATGTCATTGGCAAAAGACAATTGGATAATTCAGAGGATACCCACTGCTGTCCTACTACTTTAGCTATAGAAATGCCTTTTTTTCTTTCTAGCTCTTTGGAAAGAATTCTTGAGTCTTTGTATTTAATAACTTTTACCATTTGTGACGGTCTGCTCTTTTTCATGGGTAGCTTAAATCCCCCGTGCTGTTGTGAAGATTATGCTCTACATAAAGAACCTTTAGTCTGTTGGGCAGCCATTCTTCTTTTCTAGACCAAATATCTTTGTGAAAGTTTCATCAGATCTTATTTCTTAATCATTTATCATCTTTTACTTTTCTGAACCCACCTATAGTGGTTGCTT